CAAAGATGATTTTTTATAAGGTATTAAGCTAATAAACTTCAAACACAATCATAAGAAAATATATATGTGTGTATATTACAAAATGCGTGTGTTATATACACACATACATATATACAAAATAGTTCATGGTTTTATTTTCCTTCCCTGTTACTGAAGGAAAAGTCTGTAAGAAAATGGAAAGTCAGTTAGCTGTCACTTGTCCTAACTTTGAAGTGAAATATGAGCAAAAAAGTAAAATTAAAGACTCAATTCTTCAGACACTTCTATTTGAAATTAAAAGGTACTTGTACAGCATCCAAATGCAAACCTAAAATGAACAACAGAGACAGCAGTGCGCTAGGACAGTAGTGAAATGCACAAAGAAACTCTTGTAGATATGGTCTTGTGCTTTTTCTATCAGTGCACATTATATACAGGACATGAAGAGAGCAAGTCCACTGCTACTCATTCACTGCAAAAAGTATTAACATCTAACCAAACTGAGGAATAGTTACTACCTTGCTAAACTGCATTCAGTTGAGAACCTTTACTTTCATTTGCTGCCATCCATAGTTGATTCCAAAATTATCACAAAAGAATAATAAAAACCAAGATATTTTACAAAGAACTAATTTCGTAAAGCTTGAGAAATGACTAACAATGTAGATTTGTGCCCAGAATGTTTCACACCATAGTTTGTAGCTAGAGATTGTTTCAGAACCTCAGTCAATGAATTAAAAGCATTAAATTAAAATGTGATATTCTACCTCAGAAAGTCCACAACCTAAGACTGTTACCGAAGACCTCTCGAGGACTAAGGACCAGCAGAACACTGCCCATTTCACCCTAGAACCAGTTTCCTTTGTTCCCAATCTGACGGCTCCATGCACTGAGACCCAGAACGGCCCTGGTGTCCGTAGCCTTCCTCTCTGCTTGTGGCCCAAGGGTTGAGTGAGATCATCTCTGAAGGGTAAGATATGATCACTGCATATAAATTCCCACAGTGGCAGATTTACCATAAGGATGTAGCACAAACTATCCTTCTACAGAAGGGACGAGATACAAAGAGCGGGTGGGATAGCGGTGGGCACTCCATGGCCTCTTCCTGGCTTCAGAAGCCAATAGTCAAAACAACACCCAAACCCCTACAAGAGCCCTCCCACCAAAAAAGCAGCACATATATATGTTCAGGGCCTTACTCTTCCATTGGACTAAAGGACTAAAGAAGTTTACTAAGAGGAGGGTCCATGTGGGACGAAGTTACAAAACAAGGTAACTGACTCCTGCATCCAATCCCTTTCCCACAAGCGCCGTCGGCCAATACTACACAGCTAATGCAAGCACTCTGTCCGGGTCGATTCTTTTCAGATTGTGCTTTCAAGCCGGTACCACTGCTAGACCACCCCCTCTGCTAACCACAGAAGACACAAGACAAATGGAATCTCTTTACTAGTGATTTCATTAATCTGGGGACCAGATTAAAGATTCAATTATAAACATCTCTCAAAATAAAACTTCCATACTTTACCATAGTTTTTTATTTACATTTCTTTGTACTTTAAAGTCTAAGCAACTAAGCTGGTGGAAGCCAGCCCTTCAAGTCCACTCCCATGTATGAGAGGTAGCTTTATTCTTTTCCCTAGCTTTACACTACTGTTTCAATAGTAAATGCTCTTTGTCACAAGACAACTAGATGGAAAGGTATGGCTCACCATTCAGGATGAACGTACGGCTACCTCATGAAGTGGTTATGTCACACTCCTGACCATGGCTGGCTGTGCTCTGACTTACGTTCCTGTAAGAAAGCAGAGCACTTCGGTGTGGCTGCAGTTGTAAATATCAGCACAGGAAGGACCAGACTCCCAGACACCGATCTTTAAAGTGAGAAGAAGTACTTCAGATTTACTGGATTGCTTGGCAACCGTAAAAAAATAATAACTTTATCCAGAGCTAGAAAACACTTGGTAATGGCCACATATATTAGACACTGCTTGGCCTAGGCAATGATCACGTTTCTAGCCTAATACAACAGACAGCACTCAAGAACTGGTTTATTGTCTAAAATTTCTTCCTTACACTCTCACTATAGCTATCTCCTCCCTTCAGGGCACTTTTGTTGTATAATAGTAATCTATCCTGTATTTTGAAACTGCAATCCGGAACTTTATTTTGAAAGCAAGGGACAGAGCCTTTATTGCCTATTTGCAATCTGCCATCTTCAGGACACCCGAGTATAAACTTCAAGAGCAACTCAATTCTAGGAAGAAAAGGATGCTGATCCCATCATAATCTCATTTTTAGAGTTCTCAGCAACTATACAAATACACTTTAAAGTCTTAGGACAGAATATAAAATGAGGAACTCTAGCTAGGCTTTACCAAGCTATCAGAAATAAGGTTTAACAAAACTGTTGTTTTACTAACACCTGTCTACCCACAGACAGGTACTTAAAGGTAAAGGATACTGATACCTTCAGACAAAGTTAAGACTTTGTCTTGCTTATCATTAATCTAAAATTACATCAATACATATGGAGCCCCTTCCCCAGGCCAGAATATAATCTGAGTCAAAATCACTAAGTGACACTTTTCTTCAATCATAAAAATGTTAATGAATCTGACCTTGTAACTATGATTAATATGCAAAGAAAACACTGCCTCAGAGAACACAGAGACACAATAGATGTCGATCAAAACAAAATCTCAACAGGCAGAGGGAGGTACTGGTACAAAAATAAAGATAAAAAGCTAAGAGAGATTATCATAGTAAGAAAAGTAATTTGGCCAACAGTCTAATTTTTATATTGACTTTGCTTACTGTTCAAGTTAACTGTTGGAAACAAAGAGGGAGTTACGTAATGAAATGTTTTTAATGCATACATGCACTTAGACCTGAACTTTTCTAAAGACCACCATAATATGTTGAGCTTTATAATAAAATTTAAATTTAATCCCTGTGGAAGGATGTCATTCACTTAGATTTGAGTTTTTTATTTGATATTACACACAAACTACTAAAGCCGTAAAAGACAAAGTACCAACCCAATCTTATAGAATAAAAGTATTTTTGCTATATTTTGCTATACATCTTCATTATCTGCACTTACTAATTGATATTTAATAGAAAAATAAGAATATCCAAAGCTCAAAGCAGCAAGCAGTGACCACAAATCCCTTGACAACAAAGGAAACTTGCTTTTATATATGAACATGAAAATCCAATATGAACACGAAAATCCAACTTAAGTTTCAAACCTCTTCAAATTTCACCCATGCTAAGGGTTCTATTCAGTTTATGTCTCAGGAAGAGTGTCACTGGTTGAAATCCTAAAACCATTCATTTGCTATTTCTTAACATAAACTTGTGAAAGCATGTAAACTATACCCCTATCTTTTGGATAACAATGGTTAAGTACAAAAAAATTCATTTAACATCTTACAAATCATTACAGTTATACATAAAAGCACCTACAAATTTTAAAAAAATAAAAGATTCACAGTGCACTGAACCTTGGAACATGTAAGGTTGGAACATAAGAACATTTAAAAAGTGGATTCAAAGACCTTTTTTTCCTCTCAAAGACATAAAACACAATGAAGCCAACACAACTACTCTTCTCATCTAGCTTCTTAAAATGCAGCACACAGAAGTAAATTATTGCATATTCAGCACACTCCTTTATCACTTGATTTCTTAAAACCATGCTAAAATTTCTCAAAGGAGAAATCCAGTTCTGTGCTAAGCATGGCCTTTCTCAAGGTAACCTGAACACTGAGAAACTAATACACAGGTTCAAGGGAATAAGTATAGCAGATGTACATAAAACAGGTACATCCAACTTATACATTTTCTGCATAGTTAAGTCACATCACACACATAAACTTTAACTCACATCTTTTTTTTATCTCAAACTGTCAAGAGAGCTAAAAGCCTCAAGTTACCAAAATCCCATCCCAACAATACCCTTATTTTGTTCCACAGTGCATTAAATGAAGCAGCACAACAGCAATAACATTTAACCATAGTTAAACTGCTGTAATTGAAAAGAGATAATCTGTTGGTTCTTGAAAAGGCTCAACACCTTTAGAGGACATACTTCTGGTAACTAACTCTAATCTCTTTTGCTTTTTTATTAAGAGCTGAAAAACCCAACTCTAGGCACCAGAAAGACTGACCAAAATACTCAAAAAACAAAAACCACACAGACACACACACAAAATCACTAAAAATTATATGGTTTCCAGATGACAGTAAATGAGTGAAAATGATTTACCTGCTAGACAAACTAAGTTTTCACTCCCTTAACAATTTAATAGAAATCTGGAATCCTGGGACCAACTATAAATATGGCTCAAGGAGACCCAAGCAAAGCAGCTGTATTTCTGGAAAGGACAGTAAGAGCTTCCAAAAGCAATCATATAATGCATTTTTAAAAAGGTCACAGAAGGATTCACAGGTTTGTCACATTAAAAGATGCAGGATTATGAATAACCTAATTTTAAACACACTGCTGTAATCGTGAATTCTCCTGCTTAGCACCAAGAGGGTGACACTTTTATTAATAAATAGAATTTCTCCTTTAAAATCAAGCCATTTAAAAGCTAAAGCAAAGAAATACCAAGTGAATTCCTTACAATAGTACTTCTTCTGAAAGTCCCACTGGGTTAAATAGAACCCCTATTAAATAGGCTATCTATACAGAATAAAGATTTCTACAATAAAATTTACAAGCAGAGATATATTCTGTGGATACCACACGTAAAAAAAGATTTTTAAAACCCACATGGCAGATGCACACGCACGCATATGCTCACACATCACCCCCCCAAAAGAAATACCTTCAGTGAGGTCAGAAGCAGCCCCAAAACTAAAGCTCCCTTAAAGTTCTGGCGATTGTCCTCAATTAGAGCTGAAATTCTTCTTAAAATGGGCATTGCCATCTTTATTTAGATTTAAGAATCCTGAAGGAGCAAAATATAGTCCTAGAAGTGAGTTATGTATGTTACCTTCATGTTCTGATCGTCCCCTAATGAAATGCTTTATTTGTACTTGGATGAACCGCATACCCCTTCCCTTCTCACTCCATCATCCAGGGGCTTCAGCATGCTCATAAAAGCATGTCAGTTTCTGCTGCTACTGCAAATTGGAACCTAATACAACATTAGTTTCCAGAGATCAACACCAAGATGCAATGTAAAACCTAATAATGTCAGTATTCCATTCATATTTACACAACTGTAATAGAGACTAAATTTTCACAGGAATGAAACCACTGTACAATACTGAAGAGCTGGTGGCAGGATGGTGAAGACAAGACCAAAGCAGTTGCCACCAAAGCAGTTGCCGGGTCCCGGCCTCCTTGCTCCACGCTCCCCTCTCCCCACCACTCTCCCAGGTTCGCTGACTGCACAAGGCTCTCAACTCCAAGTCAGAGTGTACTTCCCACCTAACTAACTTAGTCCCTCTCCAGGCTGAGGACTTTGTCTTTTAATGAAGTGCTGTGTTCATTTTTAACATGAACATTACACAGTAGATGCTGGCTCTAAATAAAACCTTTCAACAAATCTCCCAGCAGAGGAGGATTAGAGAACCCGAGTGGTTAGAAGCAGAGAAATGCGTAAAATGCCACCAAAGCAGATGACCTGTGATCTTGACTTCTGTGACATTTTTAGCTATTGCATTCATTTAGTATTTGTGAATTTTAAGTTTCTTTTAAAAATGTCAACATAAGCAAACTCTAATTGCAGTCACTGTCATGGATAGATGGAACATTCCCATTAACTTGGCTACCTGATGATGACTCAAACACTATTTTCTTGACCAGAACACGAAATAAAATCACAATCACACAGAAAAAAATGCTCTCATAAAAAGCAACTTAAATTCGTTAGCCAAACACTGAAAAGGTATATCTGTATAAAAGGTTATAACTGCATTTACAGTGCAAACTCATGTTTCTTTCTACTCTCTCTTCTGCAGAGAACGTTATCTTCAGAAACATCATTGCCTCCCTGCATTTCTTTAAAACACCTGAGAAAGGTAAGGCTCAAAGAGACACCCACTCAAATGCAACAGGTCTCTGATCCTGGGACTTCCACAACACATCTGCTGCTTTCAAAGGTCCAAGATTTTCATTATAGCATTATGGTCAAACTTAAAACTCAAAAAGGCTCTGGATGAAAAGGGGAACTTGCAGTGACCATTACATGCCACAGACTGTCCGTCGGCATGTTCTAGCAACTGGTCTTCACCGGAGCAAGGCAAGTCATATGCAGCATCTGTTTAAATAAATAAACAAACAAACTCAATAACTTTATAGTAAGAACTCAAATACTGCCCTTCCCACCTTTTGTTCTACAGGAATGCAGGTACAGTATATATTTTTCCTCACCACACTCTTAAATCTAACCTAAGCAGAACCGCCAAGATACTTTCCTTTCCCTAAACTGGGGCTCAACTGATTTTCTAATCTATGATTATTGATTTCCACACATTCATTCAAAATCTAATCTCAGCCTTTAAGACCCTTACTATTCACATGCTTTCAAAAATAGGCATACTTTTGTCTACCTCCCATATTTGTTTTCTGTGCCAACATAAAGGGAGCTTCTTAAAAGATCAAAATGTAAGCACTGTGAAAAAAAGAAAAAAAAGGCAACCACTGTAAAGATTACAACTGTAATCTAAGATTTATAAAGAGTCTAATTCTAGAAAAATAAAGATGGAGCTTACCAAATCTCTAGGGAATATACTAACCTAAAGAAAAATCCAAATTTTCAAAATCATGGTCCAACAAAACTCCCAACTTATCAGGGTTTTGTTTTGTTTTTTTTTGTTTTAAAGGTAGAACAGAGACCTGACCAGGAAAGTGGATTGGGAATAGACAAAGAACCTGGGAGGTTCAGTCAGTTAAGCATCTGCCTTCAGCCCAGGTCATGATCTCAGGGTCCTGGGATTCAGGGAGCCCACTTCTCCCTTTCCCTCTGACCCTCCCCACTGCTTGGGAGCTCTCTCTCTCTCCACTAAATAAATAAAATCTTTAAAAAAAAAAAAAAGGCTGAGGCACAAAGAAAATTTCAAATGTTTCCCAGGACAAAAATCCTTTTATACTTCCTTTTCAAGACAAATTTTATATGTTCATACCATGCCCAACTAAGCTGGGTATATGAAGTTACAGTATACCTTCTTTTAATGTCTTCTTCCTGAACATACGGCTTTTTAAAGATTTGTAAAGTAACTGATTTCTGAGCTTACATTAATTAAACTATCAGCCTATCATGACCCCACCATACAACATGGCCAGAAAAATCTTATTATGGGAACTTCTACCTCCATATCTATGTATAACAAACTACTGATAGTTCCTACGACTTCATATTAACCTTAATTTTCCAAAATAGGGTTAAAGCATCTTTTAAAATAGCGTTTATCCTGCTTAAATCATAAACAGTACTGCAAGAAAATATGATAATGCTTATTTCTTAGACTTTTCTATATGAAAGCCTGAAATTTAAATGGTGAATAATGTATATATCTCCTGCACAGGGATTTCACACAATTCAAAACATCACATAAGAAAAGTCTACTGTACTTCCAAATGACGTCAATTAAATCAATATTACCAAAGAACTTTCTACATTCATCACCATTACCTTCCAAATCAGATCACACACCTACTCTTTATAACTGACAATGGAGAAGTTCCAGATGTCATTTTAAAAAAAGCTATCCATAGTGCCTCCTTAAAAAGTTGCTCATTACCTCCTAAAAGTGGGAAATGTTGCCATTCTGAAGTTAGTACTCATATATATATATATATATATATACACACACACACATATATGAGAATGAGGTCTCATCTTTACAATACTTGGTTCTACTCCCCTCTCACTAATAATTACTGACTTACAATGTTCACACATAGCACCAAGGTTTGACATTCACACACAAAAACAGCACACTGAAAGGGAAAATCATTTCATCTTGATCATTTAAGGTCATTTTAGCGAGTTTCATATTTAGAGAACATGACCACACATTTGAACTCTGCAGACATGTACAACTCTTCCTGCTTATCTTTCACAGTCCACCGTACTCTCAACTAAAATCAAGGTTAGGCCAAAACCAAATCAAATCCCACCAGAGATTTTAAAAAGAAAATGACTTGCCTGTTTCGAAATTATCCTGAAGTTTTCGTGGATGAAGTCTTTTTTCACATTTCTAAAAAAACAAACACACAACACACCAGCTGCAGTTATTCTACTTACTATAAATGAGAAGATATATGATCAAATTTCTCAGTAATATAATCACCATCCCCAGTCTTCCACTAGTATTTTTATTTTTTTAAGCCTAAAATCTTTTTTAGTTCTTGATTACATGTACAATATAGAAACACCAGAAAAAGAAAATTACTCATTAAATTTCTCAACCCAAAGATAATTAAGTATTAACATTTTGGCATATCTTTGTAGCTTTTTCTCTATGAAGATGCTGTAAATTTTCATATAATTACTAAAAATTAAGTGGAATTATTCAGTACATAGGACTATTCTATAACCTACTTTTTTTAAAGATTTATTTATTTTAGAGAGAGAGAGAAAAAGAGTGAGCACATGCAAGTGGGGGAAAGGGGCAGAGGGAGAGTGAGAAACTCCAGCAGACTCCCCAATGAGCATGGAACACAAAATGGGGCTCGAGCACATGGGGCCCATTCCCACGATCCTGAGATCATGACCTGAGCTGAAATAAAGAGTTGGACAGTTGGACGCTTAACTGAGCCACCCAGGTGCCCCAATCTACTTTTTAAGTGTAGTATACTGTGAACATTTCTGTTAATAAATATAAAACCACACCATCATTTTTAATGACTAACTACATGGTAGTCCATTGCATAGATCTGTAATATCGCATTTAAAATTATATTCTTGGATGTTTAGACTGTTTCCATATTTTCATTATTCAAAAGAATAATGGGATGAACATTCTTTAAAATTTTCTTCTAGGGAAACAATTTAAGAACCTTTTCAGGCTTTCCATATAGTCAAGCTACTCTCTAGAAGGTTTTACCAATTAGTTATTTTTAAGTGTTCCAAAACACTCAACAATACACAAATGGCTCTCTTTTTATCTGTGCCAATCTGACAGGAAAAAAGTATAATAGTAAAAGGCAAGTAATCTAACAGTAAACTGATCTTTAACATGTGTTTGCCTGTGAAATCAATACACCCCAAGTTAAGTAAACAGTAAATAGAAATTCAGGTAAAAAATGTTTGCTAAAACATTAAAACTACTATTATCACCCATTATTAAAAAAGAAAAGTAGGTGAAACTACAACAAGAAAACTCAACATACAAATACCAGGACTTACAGAAAAGATAAGCAATGGAGACCCATTAGTTATGAACTGCTACTTTCTGGAGCACAGACTAAAAGAGTGGAAGTAAATGCCTTAAAATGCTCACAGTTGTCTGTCTGCAGGCCTAGTCTAAGGGCTATGGCACTGGCTTTATTTTTAATTTTCTAAATTCTATCAACTTGAAGGAAAAAAAATACACCGTGACGTCCTTCCCAACTTTCAACTTCATTAAAACAATACAGACTCTACTTAGAAAAATAAAGAAAAATAGCCAAGGACTTGCTCTTTCTAGAAAGCAGAGTTGACTACACAGTTTTTGCAGTACTAAAAAATATTTAAATACCCACATAAAAAAGCAAAAATCAGATGTGCAATTGAATCAATCTGACAAACCTGTAACAGAGTAGCCAGAGATTTTAAGTGAGCAAATAATGCACAATTTCACTCCATAAAATCTTATCAATATATCAATTCAATGTGCTTTGACAATGCCCTTGCTCCACTCCCAAAAATAGGGTGAACTGCCTTCTCAGAGTTAGAGCTGTAAGTCTTACCATCAAGGGATTCTGCTGCTTGGCCGGCTGGTTGTGGACCCCGTTTGTTCTTTTCTTTTGATTAGGTGAATCCTGATACTGTTTTCTGCCATTTCCCCTCATACTTTGATTCTGTTTTTCCAATGAGAAGAAGTAAAATGTAAACCTACAATATAATGTAACAGGACAAAAGCATATACCCCCAAGATTATGTTTAGCTGGTTGAGTAAGAGTTTAGCAAAGTACCCCCAAATTTTCCTAAAGTACTAGGGAACCATATCATGTATTTTCTTACAGAACATAGTGCTTCACAAAACAAGATTCCTCTAAAGGTACGAAATAGCAAATATAATGGTCCCTAGGATTCTTGTCTTATCCCATTTCTGCGTACAGATTTTCTTTACAATGCATGAGTTAAAAAAAAAAAGGGAGGGGGAGAGAGGAACAAGTTTGAAAACCTTATGTGACTGTCAAAATAACCTCTCTGTGAGGGGAATGCAAAGGTACACTGGCCACAGTTCTTAAAACAAGAAATATATAGCAGATGTGATCAACTGTTACCCTAAAATCGGCTTTAAATTATTAACAAACAAGTAAACATTTTTAAGTTAATAATCTTTTATACGAAATAAAGACTGGTATTTTTTTTAAGATTTATTTATTTGATAGAGGAAGAGCAGAGAGAGCACAAGCAGGGGGAGAGGCAGAAGGAGAGGGAGAAGCAGACTCCCCACTGAGCTGGGAGCCCTACGTGGGGCTCGATCCCAGGACCCAGAGGATCATGACCTGAGCCAAAGGCAGATATCTGAGCCACCCAGGTGCCTCAAAGAGTGGTATTTTAAAAACTTAGGCCATTATCTCTAAACTTAGACCTAAAGCCTAAACATGCATTAGTTGACATTTTGCAACTGTAATATTTAACAGTTAATTTTCTTACCCCCCCCAAAAATCTAAGTTTAACTTAAAAAATAAAGTTTTTAAACATTAATTTATCCCTAGAGGTCTTAATAGGACAACTAGGTAAGAAGACTAAAACAACGTGAATAAAATAATTATTTTATTGCATTTTTTAAAATATCAAAACATATTTGTTTATATTCTACCTACCTACAAAAAAGTTAAGCAGTTCCTAAAACAGCTTGAAAACAATAGGCTTTTTTTTAAAGTTTTTATTTCAACATGGGGCTCAAAATCACGACCCAAGATCAAGAGCTGCGTGCTCTTCTGACTGCGACCCAGGCATCCCAACAATAAGCAAACTTAAATAAAGAATGGTAAGGAACAGAGAACAAACTGATGGTTGCCAAAAGGGGGATGGGCAAAATGGGTGAAGGGGAGTGGGAGATACAGGCTTCTAGTTATGGAATGAATAAGTCACAAGAATAAAAGGCACAGTGTAGGGAATATAGTCAATCACATTGTAACAGCGTTATACATATGGCGGTTTTATGGTGACAGATGGGAGCTACACTTGTGGTAACAACATACAGAGATGATGAATCACTATGTTGTGCACCTGAAACCAATGTAACATTGTCAACTGTACTCCAATTTAAAAAAAATTATTTTTTAAATAGTAAGGAAGGAACGCCTGGGTGGCTCAGTCGGTAAGCGTCTGCCTTTGGTTCGGGTCATGATCCCAGGGTCCTGGGATCGAGCCCACATCGGGCTCCCTGCTCCGAGGGGAAGCCTGCTTCTCCCTCTCCCACTCCCCCTGCTGTGTTCCCTCTCTCGCTCTCTCTCTCTCTGTCAAATAAATAAATAAAATCTTTAAAAAAAAATAGTAAGGAAATAGGTTTACAGAAACTCATGTTACACATACTTTTAACTCAATTTCATTCATTCTGCTCTTCCTGGTATATTTTAGTGTGGTAGAAGAAATATAAAGTTTACCACTATAACTACTTTTAAATGTACAATTCAGTGGCAGTAAGTATAGTCACAATGTTGTGCAACCACCACCAGTATCCATCTCCAGAACTTTTTTCATCATCCCAAACAGAACCTTTATATCCATTAAATAACTCTGCATTAACCTGTCCCTCAGCTTTGGTAACCCTAAGTTAATTTATATCCATAAATTTGTCTATTGGGTACCAAATATAAGCAGAATGGTACAGTATTTGTCAATGGTGTGACTTATTTCACACAGCATGTGTCTAAGTTTCAATGACCATGTTGTAGTATGTATGTGTTATAATTTCATTCCTTTTTACAACTAATATACCTCTGTATGTATATTCTGTTCATCTGTTAATCTGTTGATGGACATGTGGGCTGTTTCCACCTTTTGGCTCTTGTGAATAATGCCGCTATGAACACTGGTATACAAGTTACCTGGTTGAGTCCTTGCTTTCAATTTTGTGAGGTATATACCGAGGAAGTGGAATTGCTGGATCACATGGTAATTCTGTATTTAACTTTTTGAGGAACCACCAAACTATTTTCCATGGCAGCTGTACCATTTACATGCCTACCAAAAGTGCACGGGATTCTAATTTCTCCACATTCTTGTCAACACTTGCTATTTTCCTTTTTTTTTTTCCTTATTACAGCTATCCTAATGGATATGAAGCAGTATCTCAGTGTGGTTTTGATTTCCATTTCTCTAAAGACTAATGATGCTGAGATTCTTTTCATGTGTTTACTGCACATCTTCTTTGGGGAAATGTCTATTCAAGTTGTTTGCTCATTTTTTAAATTGGGGTTTTTCACGAATGTGCTTGTCGGCCTCACACAGGGGTCATGCTAATCTTCTCTGTATCATTCCAATTTTAGAATATGTGCTGCTGAAGTGAGCACTAATTGGGGTTTTTTGTTATTGAGTTAGAGGAGTTCTGGATGTTAATCTAACATCAGATATGTGATTTGCAAATATATTCTCTCATTCTATGGGTTATCTTTTCACTCTTTGAGAGTGTCCTCTGATGCACAAGTTTGTAATTTTGATGAACCCAGTATATTTTTTTAAAGAATGAAAACAAAGAAGAGTGGCAGCCAAATGGATGGCTAAAATGGTAAAGACAGATAATGCCAAGAATTAGTAAGGATGTGCAACAAGCGGAGCTCTCATATATTTGGTTGGGGATAACTTGAGAACAGGCATATCCAGTGATTCAGAAATTCTGTTCATTATCTATACACAAAAGAATGCTCATCAAAATATACGTACAGAAATATCCATAGCAGCACTGTTTGCAAAGCCCAAAACTGGAAACGACCAAAATGTCCATTAAGAGTAGAATGGATAAAGTGTGGTATAATCATGCACTAGAATACAACACAATAATAAACCCTTCATTGATGGCATATATACCAAAGTCAGATGGTAATTTTTATTACTTACTACACTGTATTTATACCAAAACTGTAAAGGTTACAAAAGCTGCGCTTCAAATCACAAGCCAGGAACACAGAAGTCTGATCAACAATTCAGAGCTCTGTAACTGTTAATCTGCAATTCTTCAATTCAGATACATTTCAAAGTCAAATCTAAAGTTATGAAAATCTTTAAATGTATTATCACTCACCTTTGCTTTTAAAAGGTCAGACATTTCAGAATGATTATTGTATGGCTTTTGCTGCAGTGGTTGCCTGTGCTTTACCCACTGGTCACCAGGAGAACCTTCAGGAAACAATTGCTGACTGTGGCGGAATTTGGTTCGACTACACCAAGATTTAAAAAATAAAAACAAGATCACAAAATTTTCACTTAAAATTCTTCTAACACCTTGATAGTTTACCTTACAGATCACAAACTTTACTTTCTTATTTACTGTCTACCTCCCTGCAGTGGAATTCAAGTTCCAAAAGGGCAGGGATGCTTATCTGCTTTACCTACTGCTTTATTCCCAGCACCCAGAAAAGTGCCTGGTGTTCACTATTTCTTGAATGAATGAATGGTGTTATTTTTATTTTTAATCCCAAACTTTCCTAAATTATCCATATCACCTCCTCCCTGTAAGTGATTGTATCTTTAAAAACCTGAAGAAAAGAATTCTAAATTTAGTTGAAACAAACAAATATAAGTGGATATTCCTTCTTATTAGGGGAGACAACTCATTCTCAACCAAGATGTCTGAAGTGTGGAATTTGATCCTACACAGGTCGGTTACAAATCCCTTCCATGCTAAAAGAGGATCTGAAAATTTAAGCTATATTCTAAAGCAAAAAATTAAAGGGCCCAAGACAATAGATGAGCAAATTAAATAAAGGTCTGTGAAAGAATCTGATTGTAAAAGGTTGTACTCACACTGTAGTTTGTAATAAAGAAATACCATTTTATAGTACTGCTTACATGTATAATAACAGTCCAGAGTCACTGATCCAAAGAACTGTACTACAGTGAATGTTTCTGAATATTTCAGCATTCTTCTCCTTTCCCATTTAAAAATTATAATAAAATTGCAGCAGGCCTACTTTCTTGAGACAAAATTCAGGTATTTCCTCCAACATATCATCACAGACATTAGTCTATATGCTAAAAACATACCATCTTGCCTAAGAAACCTGAAATTTGGTTCAAGTTGCTTCATAATGTCCTTACTCCACTCTCCAAGACCACAAAGCCTTAGGACTAAAAGATATGGGAGTCACATCACACACTATGGTGGACAGAGTCTCCCAAATATGAACAGTCATACCACTGTTTTCCAAACACTGTCACGATTTTGTAACTTTTTAGTAGTATGTTTAAATCTTAGCTACACTCCTATTTTCCTATACTGTTTATGTCTAGTAGTATATAATTTGGTGATTATAATCACAGGTTCTGAAAGGCAGAAATGACTCTCAAGGCATTTAGTCCAAGCTCCTATCCTCATAAAACCCAACTAAGATGGAATATTCCCTATGTATTTAAAAAAATATTAACTCTAGATGTGGTTTGTTCCTGTTTAATTTTTGAAGCCCTCAGACAGAATCAGAACATCTAAATTAAATAAAATGTATAATGCAACTAACTCTCTGAAACTAACATATAAAAGTTCTAGCAAGCTTATTACAAATATATATGCTTATTTAACAAAATTATTTGCTCAGCCTACTCTATAATTGCAATTTGGATATAATTAAGTGCCAACCAAGAAAATGTTCTTTGTGGCTCCTGTCCATGTAACAGTCACTTTTTACAGTTACAACAGTCTTTGCTAGAGAAAGAAAAGCAGCAAGCCCAAGTCTTCACAGTTCTATCTTTCTGAACAAATTATACATCAGCATTCCTCATCTCCCCTATACAAAAACAGACCTCAATATATCCTCCATTCAACAATCTTCAGAGACTCAATTGTCTCTGAAGTAGGATATGAGAACAGAGAACAATAGCAACACACACAGTGGCAGATTTTTTTCTTTTCCTCATGTTCTATCTACCCATCTAAAAAGTTGGTACCCTCTTGTGTATACTATTTTAAAATGCGCCTGAAGCTCCTCTCCAACTCCAATTAACCTTTTTCATCTCATCAAAAACCCTTTAAAAAATTTTTCTATTATCTCTAAGACCAGTAACAAAATAATACACTACAAAAAGGAATCCAACACTTCTGTAAACTTCAGAAGGAAAATGCTACTGCATTAAAAACTATCAAAGTAGGAATCCTATGAATATATTTCTTTACCTCAATTTTTCCACAGTGGGTTTAGCTGGTGTGCTACCGACTGAGGAAAATCCATTGTCACTGTCTGAGGAATCTCCAAATCTCCGCGAAAGCCAGTCCCTTAGTGGTCTATGGAAACATTAAGAATTCACTCTTAAAACTTAGCTAACATAAAAAAATGACCAGAATTAGTTTTGTACTTCAAGAAATAGGAACATACCTGATAAAGGGAATGGCCATAAAAAATTTGTTAGGTGCCAAACCAAGTTTGGATTTTGGGGTCATATCATTTCTATGACAGGGCAGTTTCTCAATGGAGAACCACTCAATGTTCTGAGACACAAAAAAATAATTCATTTAGTTAATTATCATCAAGGAGTTTCTAAAAGCAATTTCCTACTTCATTCAATTGGGATACTGTCCAGCAGCCTGAAAATACTTTTCAATTACATACCCGAATTTCTCTTCTGGTTTTCGGGTTAAATTTTGTGTCTTTTGGAATTCCTGGAATGATGTACAAACGAGCAAGCTGGTCATTGATTCGAAGTTCAATGTAATCATCTTTACAAATATAATCTTTGATGTCAAAACCAGTTTCCTCAAAGACCTGGAAATAACAAATTTAGATGATGATTTTCAATTGTTGCTGTTAGATCTCCAGTTTGTTAAAATTTGTTTCAAAGCAAAAACTCAGAAATATCCAGGCAATTAAAGGCATGAAAACACAAGGCAAGAAATCAAAATATTCTAGGATCTAGTTCTAGCTCTGAACTGTTCAACTATGGATAAACCCTTTTATATATCTAAGCCCAAGTTCTTCACCTATTCAATGAAGGAAGATGTGTGATACTGTGATTTACAAAAAGAAATATATATTATTTGATCTTCATCTCCTTTCTGATACAAAGCTCCTAAAACCCTTGGAATTTCCTAAGCGATGAAAGCAACCAAAGTACCTTCTGTCCCTGTTACCATGGTGACTTTTGGACCCCACCTAAAGATGGGGGGCTGATTGCCAGGACAACCAACCAAGGGATCAGAGGATTAGAACTTTCAGTCCACCCTCAACCCCTACCCCACCTCCCACCTCCATGAAGGGGAGAAAGGCTGGAGACTGAGCTCAATGGTCAACAGCCAATGATTAAATCAACCCTGCCTGCATAAGGAAGCCTCCATAAAAACCCAAGGAAGGGGGGCGGAACACGACTTCCAGGTTGATGAACGTGGAGATTTGGAAAGAGTGGTACACTAGGAGACAACACAGAAGTTTTGCACCCTTTCCCCATATCCTGCCCTCCGCAGCTCTTCCATCTGGGGGTTCTTGAGTTATATATCCTTTTAAATACAAATAAGTAAAATGTTTCTCTCAGTTCTGAAAGCCACTCTGGCAGGTTAAACCCAGGGAGGGGGTCTTTGGAACCTCCATAGGTTAGAAGCACAGACGACAACCTGGACTTGCAAGTGTTATCTGAAGTAAAGGGCAGTCTTGTAGGACTGAGCCCTTAACCTGTAGAATCTGATGCCATTTCCGGGTAGACAGAGTCAGAACTGAGCTGAACTGTAGGACACCCAGCCAGTATCTGACAATTGCTTGTTGGTGTTAGGAATGCCACCCCCCCCCGCCCCAACACAAACACATTGTAATTGAGTCTGGAACTCTTAAAATGTTAGAATACAGCAGCAGTTCCCAGTCTGTGGAAAGTACATACTGGGACCACATATGGATTTTATTTATAGCATCTACAAATCTACATGTATGCCAAGCTACAGACTAAAAATTGCCTTACACACATAAAACTATTTTGGGGGCTCCTAGGTGCCTCAGTCGGTTAAACATCTGCCTTCGGCCCAGATCATGATCCCAGGGTCCTGGCAAAGAGTCCCGCATTGGGCTCCCTGCTCAGTGGGGAGTCTACTTCTCCTTCTCCCGCTCCCCCTCCCCACCCTGCTCGTACCCCTCTCTCTCTCTCGCTAATAAAATCTTTAAAAAAAAACCTATTTTTGAAAAATGAAAACTGAATTGTGATTAATCCTAACATTTAAATGGACAGATTCCAAAAGTACAGCTACAACCCCATGTGGGGGGTATGGGGGTGGGGAGGTGAATGCAAAAAAAACTGAAACCAGTGAAAAAGACTCATGGTTCTAAAACAGCCTTCCCTCAGCAGTGCCTCAAGGGCTGGAAGAGGAGGAACTAGGAGAACATATAACTCAGGAACTGATGTTACATCTAACCTTCACCTCTTCCCTCAACCAGAGAAACCATATTTATTCTGATTAACACACTGGGCTTCTGTATAAAGTAAAAAACCACTGGTCTCTTCTGGCCTTAAAGTTCTCCTTCAAATAACATTTGTATTACTCTGACAAAGGCCTTCCCAACTTCACCCCCACCAATCAAAAAGGCTTTGAATTCTCAGTGGCTAGAACCCACTGTGGATCTTTTACACATCCCCAGTTCCTCCCCTTTCCTCTGGTTTCAGCATCTCTTAACCAACCAGTGGGACAGAAGATGTTAAAACACATGGACAGGCCGGAATCTCTTACAAGGTACAGGTACGAAGGAGCTATTTCTACTTTGTCTCCTCCCTCTGTCAGTTCATGTACCTCTTTCTACATTCCTCGAAAAAGGCACTGCTATCCTTCTCCCAGACATGTGTAATCTAGGACTCCCAATTTAAGCTCCTCCATGACATCCAACTCATTCACTTCTGTAAACCCCTAAGTATGCTAAACCTCCTATTCTTCATTAAAAAATAAAAAAATTTAAAAACTAGATGAAGGGCGCCTGGGTGGCTCAGTCAGTTAAGTGTCTGCCTTCGGCTCAGGTCATGATCCCAGGGTCCTGGGATAGAGCCCCGCATCGGCTCCCTGCTCGGCGGGGGGCCTGCTTCTCCCTCTTCCCACTCCCCCTGCTTGTGTTCCTGCTCTCACTGTCTCTCTGTCAAATAAATAAAATCTTAAAAAATAAATAAAAACTAGGTGAATATACTCAAAAAATGTTCTGTGGTATACAGAAAATGAGAAACATTATTTGTATTTCCTACTTCTGGAAATGTCAGACTGGGTACCTAAGTACATATGTGGTGTTGAAAAAAAGGAAGCTCTCTTGTCCTATGTTTCTTTTTATCTACATCAGGTATTGTAGGTACACACAGAAACAGTCTATTAAAGGTGGTCAGTGACATTCAAACACAGCAAAACTATGTATCTTTTCCAGAATAACATTCTGAAGCTCAGTGACAGAGGTTTTATACCTCCCCAAATCTTAACATTTATATACACAAGACAATGTAATTAAAACCATCATGTGGATTTATTTTGCAACGCATATATGCTATCTGATGTTTCCATTAAAGCAAAATCCAGATGCTTCAGTTTTCCTTTTACTTAAAACAAAGGTCTACTACTCTACTGCTTGAGACAGAGCTTAAAAACATTTTTGATTATAAATCAACCTTGATGGATATTAGATTTACAACAATTAAGACTTGTTCTTAATTGTTATTTCTTGGGGCACCAAGAAAAAAAAAAAGACTGGGATACCTAAACAGGAAACTGCTTCTCTTCATCAAAGGGAAGACATAAACCACAAGACATTCACAATACAATCCAGAATATATTGGAAAGTCCTATGAATCAGACAAGTAACCCAACTTTTTAAAAATGGGTAACATATAAATGGGTACTTAATCAAAAAAACATTCAAATGGCCAATAAGAACATGACAATGTGCTTAAAATCCTTAAACTTCAAGAAAAAGCAAATGAAAAATAACAATGATAAAGCATTACATTCCCAACAGAATGGCTAAATTTTTAATTGAGGTATAATTAACAGATAACATTCTTATGTTAGTTTCAGTACAACACAATGATTTGATATTTGTATATACTGTAAAACAACCATAAGATTTTCTGTACTTTCACTGAGATATAATTGACAAATATCACTGTATAAGCTTAAAGTATACAGCATAATGCTCTGACTTACATATATTGTGAAATTACCACCTTAAGTTTAGTTAGCAACCCTCGCCTCATATAGATACAGTAAAAAGAAAAAGCAAAGGGATTTTTTTTCCTTGTGATGAGAACTCCTAAGATCTACTCTCTTAACAACTTTCACATATATCATACAGCAATGGTTACCTATAGTCATCATGCTGTATATTACATCCCTATTACTAATCTATAACAGGACGTTTGCACCTTTTGACCATGTTCCTCCAATTCTCCCTACCCCCCATCCCCACTTCTGGGAACGACAAATGTGATCTCTTTTTCTGAGATTGGTTGTTTTTTCTTTTTAGATTCCACATATAACTGAGATCATACACCATTTATCTCTCTCTGCCTTATTTCACTTAGCATAATGCCCTCAAGGTCCATACATGTTGCACAAACAGCAAGATTTCCCTGATAATGGCTGAATAATATCCATTTTGTGTGCAGGTGTATGTATGTATATATACACCCCACAACTTCTTTATCAACTGTCAATGGACACTTAGGTTGTTTCCATTTCTTAGCTACTGTAAATAATGTTATGACCATGGCTACAGTATCTTTTCAAATTAGAGTATTAGTCTCTTTTGAATATATTCCCAGAAGTAAAATTCCTGATCATATGGTAGTTCTATTTTTTTGAGAAACCTCCATACTGTTTTCCATAGTGGCTACACCAGTTTACAATCTCACCACCAGTACAAAACAGTTCCCTTTTCTCCACATCCTTACAACATTTGTCATTTATCTTTTTGATAATCAGGCCATTCTAACAGGTGTGAGGTGGTATCTCATCATGCTTTTTTTCCCCCCCGCTCATTGCAGTTTTGATTTGCAATTTCCCTAATGACTAGTGATATTGAATATCTTTTCATCTACCTGTTGGGTCATTTGTATATCTCCTTTGGGAAAATGTCTATTCAGGTCTTTTGCCCATTTTTAATTGGATTATTAGGGGGTTTTTTGCTATTGTGTTCTAGGAGTTCTTTATATATTTTGGGTATTAACCTCCGTAGTTTGCAAATATTTTTTTCCATCCTATAGGCTGTCTCTTTACTTTGTTGATGCTTTCTTTTGCTGTAGCTTTTCAGTATGATGTAGTCCCACTTTTTTTTTTTAAGATTTTTTTATTCATTTGAGACACAGAGATGCAGAGAGAGAGAGAGAGAGCATGAGCAGGGAGAGGCAGAGGGAGAGGGAGAAGTAGGCTCCCCACTGAGCCAGGAGCGTGACGTGGGGCTCGATCCCAGGACCCTGGGACCGCGACCTGAGCCGAAGGCAGTCGCTTAACCATCTGAGCCACCCAGGCACCCCGTCCCACTTGTTTTTTATTTTGTTGCTCATGCTTTAGGGGTCACATTCAAAAAGCATTGCTAAAACCTATGTCCATGAGCTCTTTTCCTCTATCTCCTTCTAGAAGTTTCATGGTTTTAGGTCTTACATTTAATTCTTTCATCCATTTTGAGTTAATTTTTATGAGTGGTATTAACACAGGGGTCTAGTTTCATTCTTTTGTCAATGTCTAATTTTGCCAGCACCCTTTTCGGAAGAGACCATCTTTCCTCCCTTGTGTTTTCTTGGCTCCCTTGTTAAATATTAG